GGCGCCTCCGCGCCTGTGAGTGGCTCTAGGGTGGGCAGTTTGGGACTGTCCTCGACTCTTCAGCAGACCCTCGTTACTCCTGAGCCTGCCCTGCCCTTGATTAGCACAGCCCAAATGTATCCAAAAGGGCAGGACTAAAATAGGGACAAGCCAGTGCAGGGTTTCATACTCAGCAGCACTACCCCATGATCTACAGGGAACCCATGTCTCTAGCCTGTACCCCTCCATGCCCTTCTCTATGCCTCCAAGGTCTTATCAGAGCCCTGCTCAGCATGTCTTATGAGGCACCTATCCGTCCTCTTGTTTAGTTATGGATAAGGAATCATGGGGAGGGCCATGCCAGGCAAAGCCCATGGTGCCATACCCATACCCTTGGGACCAATGTCTTCCTGGGTATTATATACTTCTCCCTGCTCCAGGCTAGGGGGAAGTAATTCTGGACTTATTTGGAGGTTAGCTACACATCCAAGCAGTTGTCTTGCTACTCACAGGCTCACAGTGGGAAATTCACATGCAACATCCTTCAGAGCAAAGAACAGCTCCTGGGGCCCTGCCTTGGGCTCGCCTTGCTCTAGGACAGGAGTTCAGGGCTGGATGTTCATGTGCTGTATGCATGCTTGCTGACCTGCACGTTTCTGTATCTACATATGAACCCAGACACTCCTGGGTGGAAGGTCTTTTCCACATAGCTACAGGCACCTTTCTTCTGTTTTTAAGGAGGCAGAGACAGCATCTGAGTGAGCAGGTAGCCACATACTTCTTTTCCAACACCTAAAACCAGAGAGAACCCCTGCTGTCCCAATCAACCCTACAATGTGCACTTGTTATTTGTGCCTTAGCCTTGTCATCCCTCGGTCCCCACCATTCCCTGCCCAGTGCCAACAACATGTCTTTGCATCTCACAAATCCAGGGGCCATTAGCCAGGCTGTCAGATGGCCAGGCAATTCAATGAATAAGTGACCGTCAGGACCCCTGAAGTGTCTGCTCCCTTTCACTGTATCCCAGCAGGCACACCAGCCCCATTTTTATGTAACGTGATAGTAAAAGCCTGAGATTGGCCTACCCATCCACTTCTGTCCATTCCACAGTAGCTCACCTCTTTCAGAAAGCCAACCTAGCCAAGAACTATGCTTCGTTCTGGTGGCAGGGATCAGATGCCCTGAGATGGAGCTGTTGACCCTGAGAAGAGCCCACAGGAGCCCATGAGCCTCTCTGCCTCAACACTCCACTTCAGCCAAAACCAAGTACATGCTTTGTTCCTGAATGTCCAGCCTGACCAGATTGCTCTCCCCATGCCTATGCCCTATCAGGCTGTGCTGGGGGAAAGCCAAGGACAGAAAAAGGGGTGGGGGTCCCTCTACCAAGTGTCTGAGTTTGACAAAAGCTCCAAGTGGCAGCCCAGTATTTGAGGGTCAGAGAAGATGCCCTGCGTAGCCTACTAGCCAGTTCTTAACCCTGACAAGGGCTGCCACCGTCAGCTCGAGGCACTGTCCTTGGATGTCCAGCTGGTAGTTGGATGAGCCTGAGGAGCCTCTCCCCACGTCATTCACCTTATTCCTGCTGCTCAGCCTGTACAGTTATGGCCTTGCCAAGAGTCCATTTATCCTCAGAGTAGTTTTGAGAGTGTGGTACTAACACATTGCTGACCTTATACTTACTGAACCTCCCAGAGGCCAGGGAGTTCCTTAGTATAGAGAGAAGCAGCCAGGCCCCTCAAAGCCAGGATAGCAAACTCCAGAGACTTAGAGATACCAATGCCCCACTGCAAGGACAGGTATCTGGTTTGGAAGGTGTATGATTGATGCTATCTAGCTTGTGAGAGACCAGTTTCCCATTTCTGCTCCATGGTGTTAAATACTAAAAAAATGTACAAGGGGCAGATCACAAAATACAGCTAAGTGGGAGGGTTAAGGTCTAGGGCTAAGTAATTCAGCAGGGCTAGCTCTGGGTCCCAATATCTCTCTGTCACTTTTAAAATAGCCAGAAGAGCAAATTGAAATATTCCTGATCCCAGAGAAGTGCCCGAAGTGATGGTACTCCTCTCCCTTGACTCGATGACCACACATTATACATGTGTCAGAACAGCACACCAGACGCACAGGTAACAGACACCAATTACACCAGTCTGAAAGGAGTAAAGGGCTGGGGAAGACTCATACTTTTCTGGCATTTCTCATGGTCTGTATAGGTTCCTCCCCGGCCCATGCATGGTCACCCCAGTGTATGCCACCTGTGCCTGGGCACCTTGCCTGGGCGCACTACATAGACACCTCCTCCCTGAGGCCTCTCCTCCATTTGAAAACATAACAGCTCTGACAGATCATGTGACTTACCTACCACACTGCCGTTAGCAGATGGGAGTCCAAATGTGAACCCTATCCGTGGTGACTCCAGAACCATGTTCTGCCTTCCAAAACGATCCAGCAGAGTATGGGACATGGCCCCTGAGTCTCTCAGATACCTCCAGGGGTACGCCATAGACCTGGGTCAGAGTTTGAGTCCCAAGTGTCACAGCTGTCCTACAGCTGTCCTTCATCATACACGGTTGCCTGTGGGCACAGCTCCAAAGTCACAGTCCCACTCATTGAGCCTGGGAGCACATAGTCCCAGGTAGCAGATGGCTGGGCCTTGTGGGTCCCCAAAAGCACAGTAGACCCTAGAGAGCCACATTTTCTTCTTACGCAAGCTCATCCCCACACTAGGATGAAAGAGGTTGATGCCTGGGACGGTCATTTATGTATATGCTTTGTCCAGCTAGGTCGACCTCACTTCCTGCCTGGGTTTGAAAGAGATTCACGTGTATCCCCAGGATGGATATTCTCAGCCTCTTGTGGGGCTCCAGCCAGTGCTCCCAGGCATCAGTGGTGCAGGCTGCCCATCCTGGCTAGATGATCTTGAGGCCTGCCCCAAGACATCCCTCTCCTAGATGGCCTTGCACTGCCTTCTTTCCCTAATCTGCCTCACTGCACTGTCCTTTCCTAGGCCAGCGGGTTCCTTCTGTGCACAGACATTAGGGACACCGAGTGGCAAAGCAGGGTTCTCACAGGTAAACAGGGGCAGACAAGGCCCATCAGATGACCACTGAGAAATGTGTGCAGTTGGAACTCACAATGAGGGACCAGGCAGGGGCTCCACCAGCCAGCACAGATCAGCTGCCAAAGGTTCTTCCTAGAGACGAGACCCAAGCAATGAATGCTGCAAGCCAGGAGTCCTGAGGAGCAGGTGTCTGAGTCTCACAGTCCCATTGGGCCCTGACCCTCTATCTTGTCCCAGACAAGCAGAGTCCTTTCCCCCATCTCCCTAAAGCTTCCCTACAGATCGTGCCCTTCCAAGTACAGAAGCCGCCAGTCTGTCTTTGAGAAACAATTTCTGTGCCTCTTGACCAGGGCCTCTGCCCAGAGTGGTTTTAGAACCCGCAGACCCAGCCCAGACTGGGACCTCAGCCAAGGGAGGTACCCTGTGGAGTCAACTGGTGTGCTATGCCCACAGTGCCTGCTGTGCCCCTCAGACACTGGGTCCATGGCCTACTGCCGTCCTTAGACAGCCCCTTTCGTGTCTGGCATCCACATGAGCTAAGTCTTACAGTTTCTTTGTGAGCATCTTTGAGGAGGAAGACAGAAAGTGTTTATTGGAAATGATGCTAGAGTAAAGGTCAGGCTGCCCTTGTAAATGTAAATGTCAGCCTGTGCGCCACAACCACCACTGGCCATCCTAAGGGCTGGCAGGCAAAAGAAAGGGCTGGCTTCTGGGGACCCAGTGTTGAGCGCCTCCATGACCTCTGACCCCAGGCTCCCTTCTTCCCTGCACCTTCTCTGAGCATCCCTCCTTAATTTTTACACTGAGGTTCTGGACACTCAGTCCAGTGGCCCTTTAAGGGCAGGCGCTCCGGGGAGAAGGCAGTGTTGTCTTTTCTCTGCAGTGCTCTCTTCCTTTCTCTCTCTCTCTCTCTCTCTCTCTCTCTCTCTCTCTCTCTCTCTCTC